TAATATATATATTTGCGTGTGTGTGTGTGTGTGTATATGTATATTTTATTTAATTTATTTATTTTGAGATGGAGTCTTGCTCTGTTGCCCAGGCTGGAGTGCAGTGGCACAATCTCAGGTCACTGCAATCTCCGCCTTGTAGGTTCAAGCAATTCTCCTGTCTCAGCCTCTGGAGTACTGGGACTACAAGTGTGCCTGGCTAATTATTGTATATTTAGTAGTGATTCACCTGCCTCGGCCTCACAAAGTGCTGGGACTACAGGCGTGAGCCACGGTGCCTGGCCTAATTATAATTACAATACTTAATCATATACTTGGCATTGCATATGGCCCCAGGGTCTTCCCTAGAAACATTCATTTTTACCACAGATTGGTCCAAATTTGTCCTGAATCAGCCATTGCTGATTTTCTGAAGGCTGTTTTTCTGAATAAATATTCTTCACGATCTGTTTTCATATATCTACATATCCCTCATAAAACAATAATACAAAAAAAAAAAAAAGAATAATACAGGTCAGGTACGGTGGCTCATGCCTGTAAACCCAGCACTTTGGGAGGCCAAGGCGGGTGGATCACCTGAGGTCAGGAGTTCAAGACTAGCCTGGCCAACATGGTGAAACCCTGTCTCTACTAAAAATACAAAAATTGGCAGGACACGGTGGCAGGGGCCTGTAATCTCAGCTACTCAGGAGGCTGAGGCAGGAGAACCCGGGAGGCAGAGGTTGTAGTGAGCTGAGATTGTGCCATTGTAGTCCAGCCTGGGCAACAACAGCAAGACTCCATCTCAAAAAGAAAAAAAAAGAAGTAGAATACGATTCAGGGCCAGGCACAGTGGCTCATGCCTGTAATCCCAGCACTTTGGGAGGCTGAAATGGGTGGATCGCAACGTCAGGAGGTTGAGACCAGTCTGGTCAATATAGTGAAACCCCATCTTTACTAAAAAATACAAAAATTAGTCGGGTGTGGTGGCGCATACCTGTAGTCCCAGCTACTTGGGAGGCTGAGGCAAGAGAATTGCTGGAACCTGGGAGGTGGAGGTTGCAGTGAATCGAGATTGGGCCACTGTACTCCAGTTTGGGCAACAGAGTGAAACTCCATCTCAAAAAAATAAAAGAAAAAAATAAAAGATTCAGAATAATTGATGTATGTTATTTTCTGACTACTATTTCTTCCTCTTCCTGTTCCTCTTCCTCTTCCTGTTCCTCTTCTTCCTCTTCCTCTTCTTCTTTTGAGACAGGGTCTTGCTCTATCATCCAGGCTGAAGTGCAGTGGAATAATCATAGCTCAATGTAACGTTGAATTCCTGGGTTCAAGCAATCCTCCTACTACAACCTCCCAAGTAGTTGGTAGTAGAGGCACGTTCCATCATGCCTGGCCAATTTTCTTTTTATTTTTGTAGAGACATGGTCTTGCTCTGTCCCCTAGGCTGGTCTTGAACTCCTGACCTCAAGCGATCCTCCCACCTTGGCCTCCCAAAGTGTTGGGATTCCAGGTAGAAGCCACCATACTTGGCCCCTGACTACTACTTCTAAGATAAATCTCTCATCTATACTCAGCAGTGTGGGTCTTGGCTGGTTGTGGTGGCTCATGCCTGTAATCCCAGCCCTTTGGGAGGCTGAAGCAGGTGGATCATGAGGTCAGGAGTTCGAGACCAGCCAATATGATGAAACCCTGTCTCTACTAAAAAAATACAAAAATTAGCCGGGCATGGTGGCACATGCCTGTAATCCCAGCTACTTGGGAGGCTGATGCCGGAGAATCACTTGAATCTGGGAGGCGGAGGTTGCAGTGAGCTGAGATCACGACACTGTACTCCAGCCTGGGCAACAGAGTGAGACTCCACCTCAAAAAAAAAACCTGGCACAGTGGCTCACGGTTGTAATCCCAGCACTTTGGGAGGCTGAGGTGGGCGGATCACCTGGGGTCAGGAGTTCAAGACCAGCCTGACCAACACAGTGAAACTCCGTCTCTACTAAAAGTACAAAATTAGGCATGTTGGTGCATGCCTGTAATCCCAGCTACTCAGGAGGCTGAGGCAGGAGAATCACTTGAACCTGGGAGGCAGAGGTTGCAGTGAGCTGAGATCATGTCATTGCACTCTAGCCTGGGCAACAAGAGTGAAACTCCACCTCAAAACAAAAGAAAAAAAAAGAAGTGTGGGTCTGTTTTTTTTTTTTTTTTTTTTTTGAGACGGAGTTTCACTCGTTACCCAGGCTGGAGTGCAATGGCGTGATCTCGGCTCACTGCAACCTCTGCCTCGTAGGTTCAGGCAATTCTCCTGCCTCAGCCTCCTGAGTAGCTGGGAGTACAGGCACGCACCACCATGCCCAGCTAATTTTTGTATTTTTAGTAGAGACGGGGTTTCACCATGTTGACCAGGATGGTCTCGATCTCTTGACCTCGTGATCCACCCACCTCGGCCTCCCAAAGTGCTGGGATTACAGGCTTGATCCACCCGCCTCAGCCTCCCAAAGTGCTGGGATTACAGGCTTGAGCCACCTCGCCTGGCCAAAAGTGTGGGTCTTATAATCCAAATACACTACAAAATCATCTGCTGCTGGGATAGTTTGTATTTATGACAGGAATTTAGACAGATAACTACAACTCTTCAAATGAATCAGTGTTGACTAATGATAATAACACAGGCTTTATTGGGCAATTATAATAATCTACCGTCAAGATAGAAATCTCTGGGTGACAGAACAACTGCTTATATTCACTATCTTTTGGGCAACCATCAACATGGCACGACGGCTTCTCAGCCAGTCTACAGAAAGCTATTCCAGCTGCCAAAATGATAACTACCTTTATCTTCTCAAATTTTACATTTTCTCTGAGTGAACTTTTTATTTATTAAATTAATTAATTCATGTATATATATATATATATATTTTTTTTTTTTTTTGGGGGGACGGAGTTTTGCTCTTGTTACCCAGGCTGGAGTGCAATGGCGCGATCACGGCTCACCGCAACCTCCACCTCCTGGATTCACGCAATTCTCCTGCCTCAGCCTCCTGAGTAGCTGGGATTACAGGCACGCGCCACCATGCCCAAATAATTTTTTGTATTTTTTTTTAATAGAGACGGGGTTTCACCATGTTGACCGGGATGGTCTCGATCTCTTGACCTCATGATCCACCTGCCTCGGCCTCCCAAAGTGCTGGGATTACAGGCTTGAGCCACCGTGCCCGGCCTCATTCATGTATATATTTTGAGACAGAGTTTTGTTCTTGTTGCCCAGGCTGGAGTGCAGTGGCACAATCTTGGCTCACTGCAACCTCTGCTTCCTCGGTTCAAGTGATTCTCCTGCCTCAACCTCCTGAGTAGCTGGGATTACAGCCATATGCTACCATGCCCAGCTAATTTTTGTATTTTTAGTACAGGTAGGGTTTTACCATGTTGGCCAGGCTGGTTTTGAACTCCTGACCTCAAGTGATCCGTTCACCTTAGCCTCCCAAAATGCTGTGATTTCAGACCTGAGCCACCATGCCCCGCCTGAACTTTTTATTTATAGGTTTTGAGGGACAGTTCTACTAACAGAAGACCTAATTTAATCAACAGAGACTGGATTCTATTGGTGGAAGTACTCAAGCCATGGTCACCAATTTAGGTACGGATAATATGGGGTGATCACGGTGGCTCACACCTGTAATCCCAGCACTCTGGGAGGCCAAGGCAGGTGGATCACCTGAGGTCAGGAGTTCAAGACCACTCTGACCAACATGGTGAAACCCTGTCTCTACTAAAAATTAAAAAATTAGCTGAGCGTGGAGGTGGGTGCCTGTAATCCCAGCTACTTGGGAGGTGGAGGCAGGAGAATCGCTTGAACCCAGGAGGCGGAGGTTGCTGTGAGCTGAGATTATACCACTGCAGTCCAGCCTGGGTGACAAGAGCAAAAATCTCTCTCCAAAAAAAAAAAAAAAAAAAAAGGATAATGTGGAACAAAATCTGACCAGTGTGGAGAAAGGGGGCCTTGGGTGCTAACAGCACTTATGGTTTAGGTGACAAGGAGTGGACTCAGGACTGTAAATGTCTTATATCATTAAGTGTTGTGTAGGGAGACCGTATGACTTACTAGCTATGTGACCTCAAGCAAGGTACTTAACTTCTCTGGCTTCAGTTTTTCCATCTATAAAATAAGGATGGATGCGGTTGTGAGGATGAATAAATGTGTATGCCATGCTCAGGATAGGCTGTACACAATCAGCAGCTACGAAATGCCAGCCCTTGTCATTATTCTTGCTAGTGTGATCACCATCGCTCTGGCGACAACTGAGCCTGGACCAGGCACTGTCTTACAGAGAAGATTCATATCTCGATTTGGCCACCTAGACATTAACAAGGCCACAATGTTAGTCTCAGGGCCCCTGAGAGTCAGCTAAGTTAGTTCTCACCACAGCTCATTCCTCCACCCCTGTGTAAGCCACGGTGCGTAAGCCCTGGGAGGGAGAGGTTCAGACGGTGTATATGGGATGGTTACATTAGCAGCAACCTGAGGCTTCTCTCTCCTCCCCAGTTTCTGATCTGGGGAGGGAAAGGAGCGCCCCTCTCACCTGGAGGGCTTGGTGAAGTTTGTCAGCAAAGTACAGCGGTGTGTTCTTGATCACCGAAGCTGGAAGCAAAGATGGAAAGGATGGAGGCTCACATCTAGGGCCACAATCTCCCATCCCAAGAGAGACTCACTCCACAAATCCTGCGCAGGCCCCTACCTAGGCCGAGCAGAGCCGCCTGGGCATCTCCATGGAAACGGTTCTGGACAGCCTCCTCCAGCTCTTGCCCAGTGCTCCGCTGGTACTGATCAAACACTTGTGGTGTGTGTGGGAGGCAGTTAGAAAGATGGATGGGGGATTCATTATAACAGGAAAGGATGGCCCCTCCCCACCTTCTTCAGCCCAAACTCATCATTAGAGCAAGCTGGGGGACAAGATGGCTTGTGTGTACCTCGGATGAGGTGTTCAGGATTTCGCTGGGTAAAGAGCAGAACCCATGTCTTCTCTGTGCTGGGTCCTTCTGCCTGCTGCAGTGCCTGGGAAGGAGGAGTGAGTCAGGATCACTGGTGGGGACCTAGGGAGCCACGGGTGTGATGTTCCCAGAATCTATCACCATCACGATGAAAATGGGATTGAGGGTGGAAAATATTTTTCTTTTTTTTTTCTGAGACAGAGTCTCGTTCTGTCACCCAGGCTGGAGTGCAATGGCATGATCCCAGCTCACCGCAACCTCCTCCTCCCAGGTTCAAGTGATTCTCCAGCCTCAGCCTCCGGAGTAGCTGGGATTATAGGCACCCACCATCATGCCTGGCTAATTTTTGTATTTTTAGTAGAGACAGGGTTTTGCCATGTTGGCTAGGCTGGTTTCAAACTCCTGACCTCAAGTGATCCACCTGCCTCGGCCTCCTAAATTACAGACATGAGCCACCACACCCAGCTGGAAAAGGTTATTTTGACCTGTAAACTAGGGGGTGTGTGTGTGTGTGTGTGTGTGTGTGTGTGTGTGTGTGAGAGAGAGAGACAGCGAGAAAGAGATGGGGTCTCCCTCTGTCACCCAGGCTGGAGTGCCGTGGCATGATCGGGACTCACCTCAGCCTCAATTTCCCAGGCTCAAGTGATCCTCCCACCTCAGCCTCAGCCTCCTAGCTAGCTGGAACTACAAGTGCAGCTAATTTGAAAAACATTTTGTGGAAACAGAGTCTCACTATGTTGCCTAGGCTGGTCTCGGACTCTTGGGCTCAAGTGACCCTCCTGTTTCAGCCTCCCAAAGTTCTGGGATTACAGGCATGAGGGACCATGCCTGGCCTATTAGTTGTTTTTATTTATGTGATGTCATTTTCTTTATTTTATTTTTTAAGAAAGAAATAGGGCTAAGGGAGGGGCTCTGCCCTTCCAGCCTCACAGCTCTAGTCACTGATTTGGAAATATCCTGGTACCCAAGGGTTAAATAATCCCCAAAAGGGTCTGAGGGAGCTTTCTGCCCCCAAATGCTCATGAGAGGACAATCTGTTGGTCCATGAGCTCAGGAGTCAGAGACTAGGTGGGAGAAAAGGCTTCAGCTATGATGCTACCTGACACCTCATCCCCCTATCACATCACTGGGGACTCCCTCTCCCAGGGAGGCACGGGTTTGCAGGACAAATGGGCATGTAGGTGACTGGCTCTAAGATATGGTGGAGGAAGGCATCTTACATGCATGGCGGCTGTGCACACTTCTAAACCCCCTGCTCACCTGGACATCTTGTTCTGCCAGATTATAGTCAATGATTCCAGAGTAGCAGTCACGGCCCCCCTAGGAGGAGAAACTGTTCTTAGAGGGCTCTTTGAAGGGCATCTTTTCATCTCCAGAGCAACAAGCAAAGTCTGGTCTCCCCCAAAGCCCCCTCTTGTCCATTACAGGACAGCAATGCTCCCTGCTCCAGCGCGTCTCCTTGGCTGGTGAATGTGACTCCCTTCCTTACAGGCCAGTCCTCCTTACCTTGGCCAGGGCCAGGAGCAGGTCCCGCAAGATGCCACTGCTCTCAGATGTGATGTCGTCCACGGCCTCCACCTGGAAATCTGGGGTGGGGTGAGGAGCTCTCTGAGTCCTCCTGAGTTTTCCTAGCATAGATATTCCCAGGACCTGCCGAACGCCTGACTCACTATGCCCCCCCAGCCCTGCTAGGCCGTGCCTGGAGTAGCTTCACGGCTGCTAATTCCCAGGATGTAAGGCACAAGTACCATCACAGCCACCTGAAAACGTCTCTGAGCTGTAAGGTGTGCGGTGGCTTCATCACCAACCTGCTAGGCAGGAGGCAACCATGATTAGAGGTGGGGCCAGGCAGTGAAGAAGGGCTAGAGAAACCTGTATTATAACACAAGATGGCTGGGACCTGGCATCCTCGTTGGAGGTAAGGAAAAATGATATGAGGCCGGGTGCAGTGGCTCACACCTTTAATACCAGCACTTTGGGAGACTGCCGCGGGTGGATCGACTGGGGTCAGGAGTTCAAGACCACCCTGGCCAACGTGGTAAAACCTCGTGTCTTCTAAAAATACAAAAGTTAGCTGGGCGTGGTGGCAGGCAGCTACTTGGGAGGCTGAGGCAGGAGAATACTTGAACCCAGGAGGCAGAGGTTGCAGCGAGCCAAGATTGTACCATTGTACTATAGCCTGGGTGACAAGAGTGAAACTAGGTCTCAAAAAAAAAAAAAGGTGGGGAAAAGAGCAGGAAAGGGAGAAAAGGAAGGAGAAGAGAGAAACAGATGCAAGAAGGAAGGAGGGAAGGAGAGGGATTAAGAACACAGGCCACAGCTGGGGTGGCGGCTCATGCCTGTAATCCCAGCACTTTGCAACACTGAGGCAGGAAGATGGCTTGAGCCCAGAAGTTTGAGACCAGCCTGGGCAACACAGCAAAACCCGTCTCTACAAAAAACACAAAAATTAGCTGGGCATGGTGGTGGCGCACCTGTAGTCCCAGCTGCTTAGGAGGCTGAGGTGGGAGGACTGAGCCCAGGAGGGTCAGAGCTGCAGGGACCCACAACCACATCACTCACGGTCTGGGCTACAGGGCAAGAGCTTGTCTCGAAAGAAGAATGTAGGCCAAGATTAGACATCAGAGGAAAATTCGGAGAGCAAGACAAAGTGGTGAGGGTGGCGGAAGGGGTGGTGAGATGAGGATGGGAAGAAGCCACAAATTAGTGGGTGAGACACTTGCAGCCAAGCAAGGACAGCCATCAGGGGCACGAGAGGTGACACCCATGACTCAGAGGGCAGGTTCCCATCTTTCCTCCAGGCTGCGGCAAGGCTGGGCTCAGCTTGGAATGTGGTGTGATGACAGGGACAGCAAGGGGCTGGGAAGGTGACATGAATACCTTTGGGACTATCACTTTGGAATCTGCCTTGGAGCTCCAGATTAAGATGGTTAATCATTGCTTCTCTCTTTATATATATATATATGTGTGTGTGTGTGTGTGTGTGTGTGAGAGAGAGAGAGAGAGAGAGAGAGAAACATACTCTCACTCCTGTCACCCATGCTATTGCAACGGCAATAGCATGATCTCAGCTCACCGTGGCCTCAACTTCCCAAGCTCAGTTCAGGTGATCCTCCCACCTCGACCTCCTGAGTTGCTGGGACCACAGGCACGCACCACCATGCCCAGCTGGTTTTTTTTTTTTTTTTTTTTGTATTTTTAGCATTGATTGGGGTTTTTCTATGTTGCCCAGGCTGGTCTTGAACCCCGGGGTTCAAGCAACCTGCCTACCTCAGTCTCCCAAAGTGTTTGGATTACAGGCATGAGCCACTGTGCCTGGCCTGCTTGGTTTTTTTTTTTTTTTTGAGATAGAGTTTCACTCTTGTTGCCCAGGCTGGAGTCCAATGGCATGATCTCAGCTCACCGCAACCTCCGTCTCCTGGGTTCAAGTGATTCTCCTGCCCCAGCCTCCCAAGTAGCTGGGATTACAGGCATGTGCCACCACACCTGGCTAATTTTTTGTATTTTTAGTAGAGATGGGGTTTCTCCATGTTGGTCAGGCCTGTCTCGAACTCCTGACCTTAGGTGATCTGCCCATCTTGGCCTCCCAAAGTGTTGGCATTACAGGCGTGAGCCTCCACGCCCAGCTGTGCTTCTTTTTTTTTTTTTTTTTTTTTGAGATGGGATCTTGCTCTGTAGCCCAGGCTGGAGTGCAGTGGTGTGATCTCAGCTTACTGCAACCTCCACCTCCCGGGTCCTGGTTCAAGCAATTCTCCTACCTCAGCCTCCCAAGTAGCTGGGATTACAGGCACGAGCCACCGCGCCTGGCCTAATTTTTGTATTTTTTAGTAGAGACAGTGTTTCACCATGTCGGCCAGTCTGGTCTTGAACTCCTGACCTCATGATCCACTGGCCTCGGCCTCCCAAAGTGCTGGGATTACAGGCATGAGCCTCCACGCCCAGCTTTGCTTCTCTTTTTTTAATGATCTCGAGTCCTCCAGGGGGTTTGTCACCCCCGGTCCACTGGCTCTCTCCCCTGGGGAGACTGCAGCACTGGTTGGGGAAGGAGGAAAGACCACAAGGGAATAGAACTTAGGCAACTAGGCTGCCAGATAGCTCACCTATGGGGAGTACAGGAGAGGAGAGGACTCCTACAGACCCCGCTCCACACCTGGGGCCCCTCCCTCCGTCTTCTTACCGTGTTTGTAGACTGCCAGGCACTCCTGCAGCTGGGGTGGGGTTCGGGTGGCAAGAATTTCAATGGCCACATCTACAGCAGAATTTGAGGCCTACAGGAAATTGGGAGTCTACTCTGAGACTGGCCATGTCATTAGGATGGCAGACAGATGGGCAGACGCTGGCCGCTTCTCCTTCTAAGGGACAATATGGGATGAGGAGAAGGGGACTCTGGAGTGGGCAAAGCAGGGCTGACAGCTTTCTCCCTTCCCCAGACACCTGGGCAAGTCTTCCCTCCTGCTACCTTCAGCACTGTCCGCAATTCCTGGGCATCGAACTGGGCTGCGGGCTGCAGCAGAGCCACCACGATCCTCTCCAGCTTGCCGGAAAGCGCTGCCCGTAGGGACTTCAGCAGGTCCTGCAATCAATGGTCCCCACAGCAGGGGCACGGGCGTGAGGGGAAGGAGCCCAGAAGCGTGGGGGTGTTTGGGAAGATTCGGCTGGTTTTCATCCCCAGTGGCTGTTGCTGTCTCTCAAGTCTCCAGGGGATCTCTCACCCCAGTCCACTGCTGTGGGAGGTCAGCGTGGTCTCACCTGTTGGGTGCGCTCCTGGAAAGCTCGAGAGATGAGCTGCCTTTGCTCTCTGCTCCGGTTGGTCAGCACCTCTACAATGGCACGGTGGTTCACACCTGAACCGAGATGAGGGCTGTGCTGTGAGCAGGGTCTTTTTGTTTGAGACGGAGTCTCGCTCTGTTGCCAGGCTGGAGTGTAGTGGTGCAATCTCGGCTCACTGCAACCTCTGCCTCCCCGGTTCAAGCGATTCTCTGCCTCACCTTCCAAGTAGCCGGGACTACAGGTGCACGCCACAACACCCGGCTAATGTTTGTATTTTTAGTAGAGATGGGGTTTCACCATGTTGGCCAGGATGGTCTCTGTCTCTTGACCTCGTGATCCACCCGCCTCAGCCTCCCAAAGTGCTGGGATTACAGGTGTCAGCCACCATCCCCAGCCGAGCAGGACCTTTACATAGTTGGGATGCCCCTACTCCTTGGAGGAGGGAAGGAGCTCCAGGAGAGGGCTAGGAAGGAAAGGAGCATTGGCTATTTCACCCCCTTCCATTTTATCTCAAAAGAAGTTGCAAATAAAATGCCAAAACAGGCCGGGCGCGGTGGCTCACGCCTGTAATCCCAGCACTGTGGGAGGCCGAGGCGGGTGGATCACGAGGTCAAGAGATCGAGACCATCCTGGTCAACATGGTGAAACCCCGTCTCTACTAAAAATACAAAAAATTAGCTGGGCATGGTGGTGCGTGCCTGCAATCCCAGCGACTCAGGAGGCTGGGGCAGGAGAATTGCCTGAACCCAGGAGGCGGAGGTTGCGGTGAGCCGAGATCGCGCCATTGCACTCCAGCCTGGGTAACAAGAGCGAAACTCCGTCTCAAAAAAAAAAAAAAAAAATGCCAAAACAGCATGCAAATCTGACCCAGACCAAGGCAAAGGTGGCCTGGTGTGGTGGTAAGAAAAAATGATTTGGGGGCATTGGTTGACCTAGATGAGAATCCCAGTTCTGTCATTACGAGCTGAGTGACCTTGGGCAAGCCTCCTCATCTCCCTGAGGCCCAGTTTCCTCATCTGGAAAATGCAAATAATAAGTCTTGCCTTACAGGGGTGTTGTGAGAATGGGTATGACACACCTACTGCAGTGCCTGGCACACAAGAACGAAGGCGATCCATAAACATTTCCCCAGCATTGCTAGTTCCTCCTTCCTGGGTCCTCCGTGGTCTACAGAGTGGCTCTAACAGGCGGCCTCAAGTGCAGAGGGGAAGGGGCTCACCTTGGCCGGTAATGGCCCTCAGCAGCCTCTGCACATCCTTGTCCACGCTGAAGCTCAGGAAGGTCCTGAGAGTGCCCAGGGTCCCCCACGCTGCAGTCTGCGGGAGCACGGGGCGGTTGGCAGGGGCCAGGGTGCCCACCCCCCCCCTCAGGGCCTGTGCCCTACTTCCTGCCTCCCATCCTCTCACAGCTGAAGCTGAGATGTTAAAAGTGACCTCTAACATCTCAACAGCACAAACCTTGCTGGCCAGGCCCAGGTGGCTGAGGATCTCCTGGGTGAGGGATGGTGCCATCTTACTGCCACTCACAGACATGGTGCTACTGGCTGTCCTGGGGAAGGAACAGGAGCCCACAGAGCTGAATTTCCCAGCCCTCTGGGGACTCCTTATGACCCGCTCCCGAGACCTTGGAGCCTGGGTTCCAGTCATTTCTTTCCCTTGCTGCAGAAAAAAGATCAACCTGCTTAGGCTTGGGGCCAGAACTGGAGCTGAAATGGTGGGGTAAGAGGGGAGCCCCCACCTTCCCCAGCTCTCCCCGCTCCTTTAGGAAGTGGGGATTGATGTGGGATCCTCCTGGACCAGGCGCCAGCCCTCCCCGACGCCAGGGTCAGCACCAAGGCTCCTGAGGTCTTGGTCTGGGGTAGATGCCCCACTTCTGAGGTCTTTGACCCTCCTTCTCGGGCCTGGCTGGGGTCTCCCGGGGCAGGGTAGGGAGCTGAGGTGAGTTGGCAGGATGAAGCCTGCAGAGTGGGAGACAGCTCCAAAAAGCATCTTCCCCACCGGCAGCCCCAGCTGACGGGCCGTGCTCAACTGCTGCCAACACAGCTGCCTACCTGTTCTGCTGCGTCTCACCCTCGGAGCCAGGGGCCGGAACCTCGAGGTCAGCAGGTGCAGTCTCTGTGCTGATGTGAACAAGAGTTCTTGCAAGTACATGGATGCCTGGACGGGACAGGAGGTGCTCTCGGGTTGGAAAAGGAAAATTCATTCTTCCCTCCCCTAGGCAGTCAACGTGGTCTCCCGGATGGGGCGCAGGCCTAGTGCTTACCCAGAGGTGCGAGGGGCGAGGTGGGTGTCCTCGTCGTGGCCTGGTGGCTTGCCTGTGTGAGGACCAGCTCCCGTGTGGCCTGGTAGAGGAAAGTGGGGCGTGTGCAGCCTAGGCTGAACAGCCAGTCAGAGGACCTCTCTCGGGGACCAACCCAGCTGTTGTCTGACTCTGGCCCCTCCCAGACGTGGGAGAGGACCGGGACAGTCCCACATGCAGACGCCTTCCTGCCCAGCATCCCTTTTCCCAGGAATTGGGTCTCAACCCATGTGAGTAAACTCCGCTCAGCCTCACAGCGGCTCAGCCTCAAACACAGGAGGCTTTGTGCACTGCCTTCCCTGCAGGTCCAGGTGGACCACAGAGACCTAGTCACGAAGTCCGGCTTCTGACCTGGCCCTGCCCCTGGCTCCAGCTCCCTGGGGGGCAGGTCAGACAGGCTGCAGGCTGATTTCAAGGCTGATAGGGAAAAACCTGTTGGGGCACATACCAGCAGCGCACCCCAGCCTGCACCCCAGAGGGGGTCCCAGCCCAGAAACTCCCTTGACTGCTGCTTTATTAGAGCCAGTCAGCCTGGGCGGAGAGGGCCCGGGGACTGTTTATATCTGTGGAGAAGGAAGGGCCCAAGTATTTGGGGGTGGAAGCAGAGGAACAGAGTCCAGAGAGAAAAATGCAAAGGGTGTTACCTTCAGAGGGAAGCTCTATGCTCCCAAAAGGCAACAGGGAGATGGGGGAGGCTCCCTCGCCTGGTTTCTTAGATTCCTTCTGTTGCCTTCCAGCAGCCTGGGCCCTTTGGCTGTCTTAGCTGCAGGTGCTGCAACCACAGCAGCTGGGCTTGAGGCTGGCTGTGCACAGAGCAGCAGGTGAACAGCCCTGCGAAGCCCCAGCGCCCCCACGCAGCAGCTGCTCCGGCCTCACAGCTGGCTCCCTTGGGTCTGAACCCAGCCTCTTTCCTGCCTCCCTGGAGAGCTGGGGTAGGGGGGGTCACAGAAGCTAGAGCCCTGTCTCCAGTCCTCTGCCTCCCTCCCAGCCTAGGAAGGACGTCACTGGGATGCCTATATCCCTGGAGGAGGGACTGCAGCGGCTGCAGGACACCGAGTAGACCAGGCCAGAGGACACGAAGGGACGTGTCTATGGTGGTGATCATGGCGCCTCACTTTCTCTCCTGTTAAAGTGGAAAACATGCACCTGTGTCAGAACTGGAGACTGCAGGTTCCATCCCCGGCTCTGCCACCTATGTTCTGGAAGCTTTGCTAGTCCTCTCAGCTCTCTAAATGGGTGTACTGAGAGAGACGGAGGTGGTGGGACATGCTGGGGCCTCTGAGGACAGGTTTCCTGGGATGATTAAATGAAGTAATGTGACCTCTAGAGAAACACCACCTCCTCCCCCAAAGCTACTGAACTAATAATACAAAGTAAAAATATAAAAATGAGGTAATATGTGCAGTTGCATGTGGCCGAGAAAAGTGCCTTGTAAATTAGGTTTTTTTTTTTTTTTTTTTTTTTTGAGACGGAGTTTCACTCATGTTACCCAGGCTGGAGTGCAATGGCGCGATCTCGGCTCACCGCAACCTGCGCCTCCTGGGTTCAGGCAATTCTCCTGCCTCAGCCTCCTGAGTAGCTGGGATTGCAGGCACGCACCACCATGCCCAGCTAATGTTTTGTATTTTTCGTAGAGACGGGTTTTCACCATGTTGACCAGGATGGTCTCGATCGCTTGACCTTGTGATCCACCCACCTCAGTCTCCCAAAGTGCTGGGATTACAGGCTTGAGCCACCGCGCCTGGCAGGTTTTTAGATTAAATAGAGAAAAATACAAGACATGCAGCTAAATTAGAATTTCACATAAATGAGGAATCATTTGTTGGTACAAGTATGACCCAAATATTTCATGAAATATACTTTTTTTTTTTTTTTTGAGACAGAGTCTCACTCACTTTGTTGCCAAGGCTGGAGTGCAGTGGTGCTATCTCGGCTGACTGCAACCTACGCCTGTAGGGTTCAAGTGATTCTTCTGCCTCAGCCTCCTGAGTAGTTGGGATTATAGGTTCCTGCTACCACGCCTGGCTCATTTTTGCATTTTTAGTAGAGATAGGGTTTCACCATGTTGGTCAGGCTGGTCTCAAACTTCAGACCTCAGATGATCTGCCCACCTCGGCCTCCCAAAGTGCTGGGATTACAGGTGTGAGCCACCTCCTGTAATTATTATTTTTTGTTTACCTGAAATTATAGTTTACAGTGTGCCCTGTATTTCACCTGACAACCCAAAAATGGTGAGTGAAAGCAAAGCTTCTGGAGCCAGAATTCTCAGAGGCGGGATTCTGGTCTTCTGTGTGACCTTGGGCAACTACCTTAACCTTTCTGTGCTCAGTTTCCTCATCAACAGACACAATGGTGTTCACGTTGTAGGTTGTTGTGAGAAATAAGTACAGGGCATATTAAAGCACTTAGAAGAGTTATGGGCACAGCGCCGTTAAGTAGAAATGTCACAATGTTAACGAATATAACAATAAGCACTGTGATATGGTAACTGTTACTGTTACTTACCTCTCTCAGAAGTCCGATCTTGACTCGCTTCTGAAACTTTGCTTGCCCATCCCAAAATGGCCACAAGAGGGCGCGCGCAGCCACCGAGAGTCTGGAGCCCCCTAGTGGTCCCTTGAGGTCTCCGGCTCCAGCCCCGCCTATCAAGGGGCGGTCTCAGCCCACCGGGGAAGTGCAGCCTCCTGAGGACGCCAGGTTCCTGGGTGGACGTGGTATGCGAGTAGCATCAGGGGGAGAGCCTCAGGTACATACTTACTCAGGGGAGCCGCCGAGGCTGACCTCGGACACATGCAGGAGCCTGGGTGACCGCAGTTAAGCTGGGTAACCATGGCAGGCTGCTCAGCAGCTGGGGACCCCTGGCCCTCGGCTTTCTGTACCTTTCAGAGTTTCTTCTGGCTACCTTCCCTGCAGACTTAGGGGGAACTGAAGGAACCGTGAGGCCTCCTGTTTCCCCCGCGCCAAACGTCTCCAAGGGACTCCTGGCCAGCCGCCGGGCTGAACTCTGAATTTGGAGAAGGCCAGCAGAAGCTGGGTCACGTGGCAGAAGCCAAGTCCCTGCCTGTGCGGAGTGTGTGTGTGATGCCTTCACGGTGGCTGCACTGAAGCCTGGTGCAAGCGCACTCCTCTCCCTGGGTGTTGTTTTGTTCGACTTCAGGGCCAGACTGCAGCTGTTTTCGGACGTACCGATCACCTTCCACCCCCATGCGGTACATTTTAGAATTGGAGAGTTGGAGGAAATCTTAGAGAAGATCTAATCTACTACCCTTTCATGACTGACTCAAGGAGGCCCAGTGACTTCCCAAGGCCACAGAGTTGGAACAGGCATCCAGGTTTCTCAGCTGCCACTCAGTGTTTTCTTCATCCCGCGATGTGGGCGAAGCGGATTTGGGCTCCCTCTTAGTGGAATACAGGGGAAAGGCAGCCACATACAGTGCCTCCACTGTTCGCCCAGGTGCACCTCTTCAGCCCCCAAGTCCTACATTGCTTTCATTTTTTAAATTTATTTGTTTAGTTATCTATTGAGACCGAGTCTCACTCTGTCACCCAGGCTGCAGTGCGGTGGTGTGATCTCAGCTCACTGCAACCTCTGCCTCCCAGGTTCAAGTGATTCTTCTGCCTCAGCCTCCCAAGTAGTTGGGATTATAGGCACCCACCACCATGCCCCGCTAATTTTTGTATTTTTAGTAGAGATAGGGTTTCACCATGTTGGCCAGGGTTGTCTCAAACTCCTAACCTCAGGTGATCTACCCACCTCAGCCTCCCAAAGTGCTGGGATTATAGGGGTAAGCCACTGTACCTGGCCTTTTATTTATTTTTGAGACAGAGTCTCATTCTGTCACCCAGGCTGGAGGGCAGTGTCATGATCTCAGCTCACTGCAACCTCTGCCTCCCAGGTTCAAGTGATTCTTCTGCCTCAGCTTCCCAAGTAGTTGGGATTACAGGCACCCACCACCATGCCCAGCTAATTTTTGTATTTTTAGTAGAGACGGGGGGTTTCACCACGTTGGCCAGGCTAGTCTTGAACTCCTGACCTCAGGTGATCCATCCACCTCGGCCTCCCAAAGTGCTGGGATTACAGGTGTGAGTCATCGTGCCTGGTCCCTACATTGCTTTTCTGCAAATACTTTCCATTGCCTGATTTCAGAATACATAGAAACTCCTCATGGCAATTTCACCTCTTGTTAGGAAATGTTTCCTCCCTGCAACTCCTGGCCCCTGAATCCCTCTTAGGCACTAGCCAGGCTCTGCTTCTTAGCCAAATAGGCTTCAGTGTTAACAGTCCCACCTGACCTAAAAACCCACCTTCCACATTTGGGCTCCATGTATGTTTGCTCATCTGCAAAGCCTGCTCAGATATCTACACTCTGGGCTGAAGGCCTGGAGATGGCCTGTCCTCTCCTTGGGACACCTCAGCAGCCCATACAGAGGAAGTGAGTCACTGCAAGGCAGGCAGTACTTGGGGCACTGTGGGTGTGGCCATGCCAGCCTGGGTGTTGGGGGATGGGTTGGAAGCATGGCGATCAGTCTCCGGTCCAGCCAGGGCAAGTGGTGTGTGTGTGCTCCCCAAGCATGTTGACAGGGCTGGTGGCAACATCCCAGTGCTGGCTGAGGCCCAGTTTCCCCATCTCCATCCACCTTCTTCTTTGTCCCCTGGGGGAGGAGTATACCCTCTTATCTTTATTTCTCAGGCCCCGGTTATCCGACTTCAGCCCCAGAACTTCCCCTCCCCACTGCTATCTTAAAAAAAAAATTAGCCAGTCTTCAGTCCTCCTGAGGAAGCATTTAAAGAGTCTGGTGGGAACTACAGGAAAGCCTGGCACTTAGGAAAACCACCCAGGAAAGGGATTCAGAACTAAAAGAAGGAAGATGAGTGGGATGCAGGCGTGGAGAGTGTTAGAGACCCAAAGGAGAGCTGGGGCCCAGAGAGGAGCCCCTGGAACTGTGCTGGAAAAAGGTGTGTAGGTGTGTAGCAGATAAGGACTCTGGGGAGGGCACTGAAGAAAGGCAGAGGGCACTTTGGCATTAGAAGGCTGAGGGAGGAGAGTTACAAAGGGGTAGAAAGAGACAACTGGGCTTCGAGTTGGCTCAAGCCTGTAATCTCAGCACTTTGGGAGGCCAAGGCGGGCAGATTGCCTGAGCTCAAGAGCTTGAGACCAGCCTGGGCAACACGGTGAAACCCCGTCTCTACTAAAAAATTAGCCCGGTGTGGTGGTGTGTGCCTGTAGTCCCAGCTACTCAGGAGGCTAAGGCAGGAGAATTGCTTGAACCCAGGAGGCAGAGGTTGCAGTGAGCCAAGATTGTGCCACTGTACTCAGCCTGGGTGAGACTCGAGACTCCGTCTCAAAACAAAAACAAAACAAAATCAAGAAACGCCAAGGCGGGCGGATCGCTTGAGCTCAGGAGTTCACGAAGAGCCTGAGCAACATGGTGAAATCTTGTGTCTCTACCAAAAATACAAAAATCAGCCAGGTGTGGTGGCACCGCCTGTGGTCACTGCTACTTGGGAGGCTGAGGTGGGAGGATTGCTTGAGCCCAGAAGGCTGAGGCTGCAGTCAGAGTGAGACCCAGTCTCCAAAAGAAAGAAAAGAAAGATAAGACAGAAGATTTGCTAATAAGGGAAGGAGAAGAAAACACAGCTGGAGGGGTTGCTGGAAATTGGCAAATCAGTCAAGGGAAAAGCCTGGAGAAGCCCTGGGAGCTGGTTAGCGACTGCCCCTCTCTTTGCTCCCATGGTGTGCCTGGGTTGCAGGTCCCCAAAAAAAGAGCAGCTGAACAAACAGGTGAGTTGGTCAGTCTCTGCTTCCTTACCCTCCAGAAAGATCCTGAGGTGAAGGAAGAGCCCCTCAGCCGGATTAGTGGGAGTCACACTCCTTCCTACAGGACTTTACCAGATAAACTGAGCTACTGTCAGAGGCTCTGATTGCGGCAGCATAAAAAAGGCAACACTTTCTCAAGGTAAGAAATTTGATGAAAGTACCTCTCCACGGAGTCGGAGTAAGCTGCAGCTCTCCCTGTATGTGAGCCCTCAAATACATCTTAGTCAACATTCCTTCACGTTAAAAGTTAAGGCCAGCTTTCTAGGAAAAACATGTTGCATCTTCCTGAAACATTTTACCACACTATTCAAGGGGAAAACACTTAAAAATATTTAAAAGATAGGGTCTCGTTATGTTGACCGCCCTGGTCTTAAACTCCTGACCTCAAGTGATCTGCCCACCTCCGCCTCCCAAAGTGCTGGGATTACAGGAGTGAGCCACCGCGCCCGGCTGGAAAACACTTTTTTTTTTTTTTTTGAGACAGTCTTGCTCTGTCGCCTAGGCTGGAGTGCAATGGTGCAATCTTGGCTCACTGCAACCTCCACCTCCCAGGTTCAAGCAATTCTGCCTCA